TAGGAAAATTGTTGCTTTGTGACATTAAGTGACTAGAACAAGCAGAGCCATGACTTATGCCCAAGATTCTGACTTCAATCTTCCTCTTTCAAGGGACAACGTCATGTTCCCTCACTAGAATCCTTGTTGAGCTGTTTCTTTCTCTGATAGGTCAAGTATAGTTTCCATCAACTGAAACAGAGGCTTAGAGAGAAATGAGTATGTCCAAGGTCATCCTGCTGAGAAATACCGGAATTAGGTTCTGAAATCTCCCTCTCAATGAGTCCAGCTCTGAATGTGTTCTGAACCTACCAATTCAACTCCTTCTCTGGCACCTTCATGTCTAAGTCACCATGATTTTTCTCCACAAGGATGCTGTAGCCTTCACCAGACACACAGCTTCCACTCACGGTTCCCTAAAATAATTTCTTCGCATATCTGCCAATTGTTATTTCTGAAATAGGATGCAGATAGTGACATCTTTCTGATTAAAATCTCTTATTGGCTTCACATCTTGGCCAGAATACTATTGTAACTCTTTACGGTGGCTTAGAATCCTTCCCGTATGGGAGTTGGCTCCCGTCTAGCTCCCGTCTAACTCCATCTTGCCCACCACAGGTAGCCACACTGGTGCTGTGAACACACCAAGCCACTGCCAGGTTAAGTTCAGGGCACTCACTGTTCCATCTGCTGGGAAAGGGCTTCCATCAATCTTCTCAACACTTGTCATAGAGATCATACCTTAAATGTCACCTCCTCTGTAGGACCTTCCCTACTACCCACTCTAAATGATACTCTAAGGCTTTCTCTGTCACACGACTATCTTAATGAATATGAAGCTAAGGAATTTTAAATCAATTCATTAATTTATTCATTATGATTTTTCTCCTCCCTCCACATGGCACTAGAATGAAATTATCATGAACACAGGATAGTTTTGCTTCTAAATTGTTGAGTATTTAGATCATAGAAAGTTAAAAGATGACCACAAACATTTAAAGTGTTCCCTTAAATCCTTCCAACACCCCAACATTCCCATTTTCACAGACCATGATGGAGGGATGAGAAGCATCGCTTCTCAGGAGTGGTCAGGTTCCGTCTGGCCCTTTCCTCCTTTTTGGATGAGACCTTGATCCCAGGGCGAGAGGCTAAATGCCACCACTGATCCCCACGCTGACCACGGTGTCTCAAATGCCCATGGAGAATCTGTGAAGCAGACACTGGAATTGACCAGTCTGAGGTCCGAGGGCTGGGAGGTGGCAGAGCCATCATGCATACATGAGCCTTCTCTCTTCCCATGGATTCACACATGAAGCTAAGAGCCTCCTTTACTCACCAGATTCAGAGGTTGATTCTGTGGGTGATGGGCAACTACTCTTAGGGGTTCCTGGAAAAGGACAGAGAAGGGGTGAGGAAGAGTCTTTCCTTGCACCAGTGAGCTAGGATCACTGTCTACAGTCTAGGGGAATGTTGGTCCCCTGTCCACCCCACACTCTGTCATTCACCTACTCACTGGTTTGGGGTCTTGTAGACCACCTCACAAAAACTCTGGGGAGGACACTCCCTCCCTCTGAGACCTGAAGGTGCAGAGAAGACTAGGAGATGCCTGGTGAGGAAGGACCAATAATCAGGAGACATTGTCTCCTTTTGGGGTGATAAATACCCACATTTCTCAGCAGGGAGATCTGTCTGTGGAGGAGAGGTCAGGAGGGGCTTCTGCAAGATGGATAAGGCTGAGGGGTGGATGCAACCTTTGATCTCCCCAAACTGCATCTGGCCTCACCTCCTCCTGTGACTGTCCTGAGCCCTTTCCTCGTACACCTTGGTACAAAGTGGCCTCTGTACAGGAGGAGGACGGGGGTTTGGAGGTGCCTTCTCTACCATCCTACATTGACAGTCCCTCTCTCACATAGCTTCTCTTTTCCTCTCTGCATTTCTCATTGGGTCATTTTGTCCAGAATCTAAGATCCCTGTGTCTCATCAGAACACCCCTCAGACACAGCCCTATGATGCAGTAGGTCCCAGGGTACGCAGCAGGTATGGGATCCTCACCTGAGACAGAAAGGTGCAGGGGGTCACTTGGGGATGACCACTTATGGGGGGAGTAATGGAAGTAGCCGTAGCATCTATAGGTCCCTCCATGGGAAGGGGTTGCAGGGCCCAGAGGAACGTGGACCTGGAATGTTCCATTGTGGCTCTGCCGTCCACTGAGCCATTGGTCATGGTCCTCCCCCTCTCTGGACAGATGGTATGTGTCAAACTGACTCTTGGAGCTGCAGGACAAGTTCACAATCTCTCCTAAGCCCACCATGGGGCCCACCTGGGTGGAGAGAGAAGGTTTTTCATACTGTCCTAGGAGAAAAAGAGTTTTATTTTATAACACAAGCCATGCCACGTTATCCTTAGTGCATGAACAAAAAATTCTCCCTGCTTGTTCTTGTTTTGAGACCAAACTCTAGATCTGCTAGTGCTTCTCTCAACAACATTTTAGTCTCCACAATCCTGACACATGTGTGTGTGTCTTTGTAATTCTTCTGGTTTTCATTGATTTTTCCATTATTTTTTGACTGCATCTTAGTGTCTTATTGTCCTTTAAACTCATATGAAGTGTGAGGCCCTCCTGGAACATGGAAATAACTATCTTCTTTGGAGATCCTCAGAAAACATGATGCTGGCCTTAGGTCCCCTGACCTGGAACTATGAGGCTATGGGTCTCACTGTTTCCAACTTTATGTGCTGGAAAGTGCAATAATCTCCATAGGATGTGTAAGAACATCACAGGCTGAGTCCTCTGGAACCAGCCAGTGTATCCACACCTCCCAAGGTGTGGACGCAAGTAGATGTGTCTACCTCTTGGGGAGGTTGCAAGTGACCGCTTCTCCCTCTTTGGGCAGAAGGACGTGTCACACCACACAGCTGAGCAACTGCTCAGGGTCCCAATCTCCATTCACATCCTCCAGCGGCCAGGCTGGGGGACGTCTGGTGTGTCACTGTGTCTCCTGGTGGAGGAAGGGGGCTGTGGTTTCAGGGTGAGAAACTGACCCCAAAATGCCCCTCGGTGCCTGAGCTGTGGGAAACAAGCCCCAATTCTAGGTCCCTGCGTGTTTCTCAGTATGTCTTTCACAGTGTCTGTCACTGTCTAATTTGTTTTCCCTGTAATTATAATGCATTCTATGGTGGTTGGTCTTTTCCTTATTCCACCCCCACCCTTCTCTACAGAGGTTCATTGTATATCTTTGTGCCTGTTTTTTTTCTGACTGTACTAACATTGTGATCACCAACCATGTCACCCCCTGAAGCCTGTAGGGCATGACAAGACCAGGGGCTGGTCTGGCCACACTCACCTGTGATCACAACATCCAGGGGGTCACTGGGAGCTGACCACTCACAGGGGGAGTGACTGAGAGAACCGTAGCATGTGTAGGTCCCTGCATGGGTGGGCGTCATATTCCCCACGGAGAAGTCAGCCTGGATGGAGGGGAGCCCAACACGGATGCTCTCGGCACGCAGCTGGGAATGCTGTGTGGTCCCCTTCTTGTGAAGGATAAATTTATCGAACTGCAGTTCTGAGTGGCAGCGCAGGGTCACACTGCCTCCCGCATGCACTAGGGAGCTTGGGTGTGCTGAGATGGAGGGTTTTCTAAACACACCTGGGAGCAAAGAGACTGTGAGATTAAGGTGTCACCCTGCTCAGCCCGTGCCCTGAGAACAAGTAGTGAAGTTTCCCCATCATCACCAAAGCCTGCCTGCTGTTCCTGCCTATGAGCTTGCATTTTCTCTGGGCATCATCCTTCATCATCAGGACCGCGTCTTTTGTAGCCTGGATCTCCCTGCCTCACCTCAACCTGCTTTACTCTCTCACCTGGGCAGTGGCCCCAGCATCTTCTCTGTGCTTTCTAGGCTCTCAGACTGTGAGGCCCACTCCACACCCCATCCCCTCCCAGCTCCATAGGGTGGGCCAGGGCGACCCTGCAGGATGTGGTCCCTAACTTTCTGGAGACATTGTGCACATCCACTAGAGCAAAGGAGATGACTATCAGGAGGCTGGGGCAGGAGGTGGGGAGGAAGGGAACATTGCCCCATCCATGCCCCAGCCAAGCCTCTAGAGGCATCTCCCAGGGGGCCAAGTCTTCCCCAAGGCTCTGGCTCCTCTACAACAAAATAACAACTTCCCTCATAGGAAGGCTGGTGCTGGGGTCAGGTAGCTCAGGTAACACTGCTCCTCCCTGGGCCCTCTCTTCTTATACCTGGTACCCACACTCTGCTCTCTGCAATCCCTAGGTAGATTCTCCTCCTTCTTCACTGCCTCGCCCCCTTTCACCTGAGTATCGAGCTCCTTACATTAAATATCCTCTCTCTAAATTGTCAGACGGCTTCTCTGTCCAATTAGGCCCGATCAGGAATCCTACAATGACTCTCTGGCTGCGCTGGGTGTGGACTCTGGCAGGGGCCGTCTGACACAGGTGGACATGGGCTGGGATGGGCTTCTCCTACCTGTGACCACGATCTCCAGGGGGTCACTGAGAGCTGACCACAGAGAGCGATTCTGGGTGAAAGATCCGGAACATCTGT